TCTAAATATTCTGCTATTAGAGCAAAAATAATCCAGTCCAGGTTTAAAGAGTCTAGGTGTTGTAGTTTTTAGAGATGTGCCGATCAGGTTTTTTCCTGCCAATACCGATACCGATCACCCATGAGGGCCGATCACAGATACCGATCACCCATGAGGGCCGATCACCGATACCGATACCGATCACATAATTATTATTATTATTATTATTTTATCATAAATACTATCAGTTACATTATGTGGAAAAAGGAACCATGAATTCACCTTAATTTAGACAAAAACTTGTTTTTAATAACTTTTTCCAAGAAGAAAACTAAACAAAACAGGCATTGTGTGAATTGTACTGCTATCGGTAATACTATCTTTAACAGACTGATAACATATGAAGGCTCTGAAGAGGCTAAATAATGCAAAGAGCCAAAATAAAACCTCTCAACATTGCCAAAAAAATTCAAGTATAAAACTTAACATTCAAAGGCAAAAACAGGTTCCATTACAATAAATAGTCCTGAGTTACAGAATAAAAACTTCCTGTTAGAATGGCGGCTAGCTGATTACTGCTAGTTCTGATTGGCTGTTTCTGACTGAGCGGAGTAATTATGCAGAACATCGATTCTTTTTTCAGAGATTATCTGTCTCATGTTAGGACAGCGAAAGTTTTAATACGTATGTAAAATGTATTTTTTTAAGTTAGATGCTGCAGCTTTAAGCAGAGGTTCGGTGTGAGAGTCACTACCAGGTGGAGCAGAAGCTCCGTCTGTTAAATATTACTACCTGTAGCGTAGCAGCGGTTCAACAGGAGAGCAGAACCAGCGTCTTACATCGCAGCTCGAAGACTTAAATCATTTTCCAGGTTATTTGCTTAGCTTTCTGACCGTCATGCTAATCCGGGTGAGTGTTTGTAGCTGTGCGCTGCTTTACCTGCTGTCTGATCCTCCGTATGTCTTTTTTTACTGCAGTGAGCCTCGATATAGTCAAACTCCGTCAAGTATGGCTTTGTTTTTATGCCATATTAGATTCGTCGTGTTGATGCGTTTTGACCTGCTTCACCCCACGAGTTTAAATTTTCCGCCGCAACACGCAAACTTCCCCATTCACTCAGTGCGTTATAGTTCCACATCGCTTAGGATTTGTTGCCGCGCGTTTGCGCAGAGTGAAGGAAAGAGGAGACCAGCTGCACAGGCAGGCTGTGAAATGAGATGCAGGTTTGTGTGATCGGTGGCCGATCGATCGGCACACCTCTAATCTATATAACTATTATATGCTCTTAAGGTTCAGCCGATTTGAAGTCGCAGTTCAACATTTGGGACTGTAAATGCGAAGCTCAATGAAATCCTGATCGTGTTTTTCAGGTTATGGAGTTATTGCCACCAAAAACATTGAGCCAGGAGAATTCCTGCTGGAGTATGTTGGAAGACATATCACTGGCTCTGAGGGAGAGGACCTGTATAAAGAGTACTCTGCTGAAGATGCAGCATTTTTGTATTTCTACAACTTCCAAGAACAAAACTTCTGGTAAATACAATTGCATGAACGTCCAAACTTTGAATCTAAGCCCAGAAATAAGTATAATTTATCTCTTTTTTTCCAGCATTGATGGCAGTAAAGAAACAAGACTTGGAAGATTCATTAATGATGACCACATCAAGCCAAACAGCAAAATTAAAATTGTAAGTAACACAGTCGGAAGTCACTCTGTGTTAATTTAGTAACTGTTTCATTTAACAAACAAATTGACTGAAATAATTTGTGTCTGTACCTATGTGACCAACAGGTATTGGATGAACAACAAAAACCACATCTGTGTGTATTTGCAATCACAGAAATTCTTGCAGGAGAAGAAATCGTCTACGACTATGAAACCCCCAACTGTCAATGGCGACAGGTATTGACAGTATATAATACATATATATTTTATTCAAAGCATGCTTTATCAAATGTCATGCATCTCAGGTATTACCTCTTCATCTCTCATTTTTACTATATTGTTAATGAGCTTTAAGTGGCATAAATGTTTGTAAACATGTTTAAACTCAAAATGTAACAACACTGTCAAAGGTAAAAACAAACCAAATTCTGCATAATAATGTAATGCTGTAATTGTCCTTTTTTTTAGAAGACAACTTCCTTCTCTTCTAATGAACACATGGAAAAGAAGGTAAATATTTGTGGAAGTTTTTTCTTCATCTTTATATAACATTTTCCTATTATATTTCCCCTGTAGCAGAAAGATAATACATAAGATAATTGGTACTCTATTGTCTCATTGTTTGTTTTGCTTAATTTTGAAGGAATCCCGATGGAAGAGCTCACTAGAAAACCTCAAGTCTGAGTCTGGCGTGATGGAAATTGATGGCCTTGTAATCAATCCAAACATAAAGATTGCAAGTGGATGCAATGGACCAGAAGTCTTTCCAGGATTCTTCTGCAATGGCCCTGTGGCAGTCAAGCGATTTCCTAAGCATATCAACAAAAGCCAATTGAAAATAGCTAACTTTCTGTGTTCAGACAGATTAAAAACCAAACATCTGTTGCAGCCCCTTACTGTGATTGAAGACACTTACTTGGCCTATTTAGTCCTTCCTCTTTGTGAATATAATCTCAAAGACCTGATCGAAAATAAGGATTTTCCTGAGAGACAAAACCTGACTGAGCAGTGGAGACTGGGAATCTGTGAGGAGTTACTGCTGGGACTTCAGGAACTGCACTCACATGGAATGTTGCACGGAGATCTGAGGCCTGAAAACATCCTGTTTGGTAAAGGAAACTTAATGGGCAAACTGTACCAGTCATTTTATTCACAAATGTTGATCATTAAAATGCTAATTTTGATTAAATTATGTTTTGATATTTGTATAATTAAAGATATTTTATTTGTCTACAGATATCAACAATAAAATGTGTATTGGAGACTTTGGAGCAAGCAGAAATCTGGATCCTGCAGACACTGCATCATTTTCACTAACAGGTGGAACTTTGTCCTGGGCCAGTTATGAGGATGTTGGAGTTATAAAAAGCAAATACAAGAAGGAGTCAGATATCCAGGTGTGTTGAACTTAAAATGCTCATTTAATTGTATACTAGACACTAGGATTGTTTGTTGAGCTATGATTTTGTTCAATCATTAGCAAGTGTTTGGATTAGAATAATAATAACATTCATTATTATTATTCACTTTGCATAGTTTGACCTTGAGGACATGGTTTTAATGTAATCTGTTACATTTTAGGTAGCGGGATGCTTGATGCATTACATCCTGACAGATGGACAACATCCCTTTCAAACTACAACCCCATACTTCAGTGATCCCATCGGGCTGATGCTTAACATCAGAATGACCAACTTCACTCTTCAGTGTGAGGAAAGATGGAGTGGGCTAAAAGACATCATTACCCGGATGCTGAGCAGATCACTTGAAGAACGTCCCACCATTGAAGAATCTCTTAAGGCTGTAACGTGTAAGTAGCATTGGTTTAAATATAATTTATAACTTTATGGGCTGGGAAACATCTTAAATTAAACATGAAAACTGATGAACCCTATTTTGTCTTATTTACAGGTTTGCCACATCGGTCTGATTATACTGGAACCACAAACAACACTGGGCTTGATAATCAAAAAGAAGTAAGTCATTGTTTTCCAGTAGTGTAGGGCAATATAAGTTTACTTTACTGTAAGACACTTAACATCTTTCACTGAAGAAATTTTATCTGACTTTTAAATCCATATTTAATACTTACTTTTATTGTCATTTATATTCATTAATTCGCTGCTTTTTGTTATTATTACAGGATGGAACCCATACAACAAATTACGGGCCTGAAACTTTAGCTGAGACGGACATTGCAGAGAGTACTGACAACGATCTGTTTGACATTTCTGACTGTAACCCATTGCTTTCATCTTCTGTGATGGAAGAGGAAGAGGAATTTTCTGAGTTTGAAATGGTAATAAAGGATTTAATGATATAAGCAGCGGTGAAGAAAATCATAACTATGTATAAAGAAGTGGTGCGAGTATGATATTCTCTTCTTTGCAAAGTAATTAATAAGCTATCTTTTTTTCAGACCGTCGAGGAAGAGGGTTCCCGTTCTCTGGTAATGTCAGATGAAAAAGTAGATGACAACTCACAATCAAAGGAAGAAGAAACTACAGAACGTGAAGTAATCCTCAGAAAAACACCTTCTAAAACTCAACAGAAGTCACATGGCAGTAACTCTCAACAACATAACGTCACAGTAAAAACATCTTCAAACACTTCACACCATCGTGTCTATGACAAGAAAAATTATTGTTTTTACTGTGGAAAGCCTTACGCAAAAATCACAAGACATCTGAAGCAGAAGCATTCAGACCAACCCGATGTGGCCAGGGCACTTGCATATAGGAAAGGATCAAAAATGCACTCCTTGCTTTTGACCAAAGTAGCAAACATGGGAAACTATCAACACAACTGTTCTGTCCTGTCCTCTGGGGAAGGACAAATCATCCCAAAAAGGCAAGCAACATGTGAGGTAGCTGCAACGAACTACCTACCTTGCAAGTTTTGCTTTGCTATGTATGTGAAGACAGATCTCTGGAGACACCTCAAGCGTTGCAAACTCCGAGGGACAGAAGCTAGCATCGTGACAAGAAGAGTTCAGACAAGTTCTTCCATGATGTTACCCATGAATACTGTGATTTCCACTGGACTTAAAACGGTTCTCCAGGAAATGACGTATGACAATATCACGCTGTTAGTAAAGGCCGACTCCCTCATTATTTCTCTGGGTGAGAGAATGTTCCTCAAAAATGGAGAAGTTGGACGCCATCGAGCAGACATCAGAAATAAGATGAGGGAACTTGCCAGGCTTGTTCTTGTTGCAAGAGACATTGACAAGGACGTTGTCTTTTTGAAGGACTTGATCTGCCCAAGAAAATTCAACACTGTCCTTGAGGCTGTAAAACAGATGACTGGGTTTAATGAATTATCGAACAGATTCGCAGTGCCCTCAACAGCACTAAAACTGCGCCATTCTCTTGTGAAAGTGTCGTACATTTTGCAAGGAGAGGCGCTGCGTGTACAGGATGATGATTTAAAATCAAAAGCAGAGCAATTTGTCAAGTTAATAGAACTGGATTGGTCAACACATGTGTCATCCAATGCCCTGAAAACGCTTTACCAGAAGAAATGGAATCTGCCGCAAATACTGCCTTTGTCAGAAGACATCAAAAAGCTCCAGGACCATCTGAAAAGCCTTGAGGTAGTCTGCAAAAAAAATCTCATTGATCAACCAACAGCAAAATCATGGAGTGAACTCGCTCAAGTCACTCTGACACAGCTAATACTGTTCAATCGCCGTCGTGAAGGAGAAGTTTCAAGAATGGAACTCAACACATATTTACAAAGGAACCAACACGACATGCATGATGAAGTTTTGGAGAGCCTTTCAAAGTTTGAAAAAAAACTTTGTGAGAATCTCGCCAGAGTAGAGGTACGGGGGAAAAGAGGCCGCAAAGTGCCTGTTCTGTTCACAACAAATATAAAACAGTCTGTGGAACTTCTGATTAAAACTAGAGAAGAGGTTGGCATTTCCCCCACCAATCCCTACATTTTTGCTCGTCCATTTTATGGCTCCCAAGGGAACTTTCGTGGATGTGACAGCTTAAAACGGTTTGCTGAAAGCTGCGGAGCTAAACAACCACAGAATCTCACATCAACCAAACTACGAAAGCATATTGCCACAGTTTCACAGCTCCTAAACCTGCAAACTCACGAACTAGACCAGCTGGCAACTTTCATGGGACATGATATTGAGGTCCACAGGGAATTTTACAGACTGCCTGAAGAAACACTCCAAGTGGCAAAAGTCAGTAGACTTCTTTTTGCTCTGCAAGGTGGAATGAGTAAATTCAAAGGGAAATCTCTTGAAGACATCACACCAAACATCAACTGTAAGTGAAAGATTTCAAAATGTATTTTCTTTTTATGAAATGAAGCAAATTTTATATTTTTTATTTTGTTAAAAAAATAGATGTGCTTAAGTATTTACTGTAAACATTTTGCTGCAGCTGAGGAGAAGTCTAGTGACTCAGATTCAGATGTTCAGTCTGAAGGGACTCCCATCAAAAAGAGTCAAAAAGGTAACATTTTCCTCTGTTTACTACTGTAACGGAAAAGAAAAAAAATCTATCCACTTAATGAAGTATTTTTTAAATGATCATGCCACTTCAATCTGATGTAAACATTTAATTGCTAACTATGTTTTTCAGAGACTTCAAAGGGTAAAAACCGTGAAGAAAGCACTGCATCATGCACGTCAACTGGGGGCATTAAAATATCGCCAAAGTCGCCAAGTAAAATAGGTATGTTGTACAATTCACTCCATGGGATACTGTTTGCAGTATTAAAAATAGTAAAGAAGCTGATCCTCAACCAGATCACTCCGGCCCCAGGTCGGGTGCCTCCCTTCCCATTACCTCTGAATCCCAACACCAGAGTGCTAATCCTAAATCAGCTGCCTACAGTCTTTGACTGTTTGCAAAATATCTCTGCAGATGGAGAAATCACATACAATGTGCAAGATTTCTCTTTTATTTACAGGAATTATAGTATGCATATAATGGAACAAAGTCTCTCCCTCTCCCAAATGGGGGATTGGTTTACGACCTATTGATAAAATCTCAAATAGTTTTGCTGGAAAATTCCACACAGCATCACATGGGAGTCACATTCTGCTGACTTTCTAACATCAAAGAGATTGGGCTGACCCCTTGTGGACCAGGAAACAATGGGTACCTGCAGCATTACCATTTGACTGTGGGGTGTGAAACCAGGAAAACCTGCGTGAAGCCAGCAACATTCCCTTTTACTCCAGTGTTTATATGAAAACTCTTGACTTTTATTTACCAGAGTTGGTGTTAAGCGATTTTTATTAATCAATTTATTAATTTTCCTCCTTCTTTTACATACAGGGAAATCCAGAAGACCTTGGTCAGACACTGAAAGAAAAGTCATCCACCAGCATTTCAAGGACTTCTTGAAGAAACTGAAGATCCCTGGCAAAGTGGACTGTCAAAAATGCTTAAATAATAATCAGATCCTAAAGGATAATGAAAGAGACTGGAAAGCAATAAAATATTTTATGTACAACAAAATTGCAGCTATAAAGAAGAGCTAATAACAGTAAGGTCAGGAATGATTGGGAGCTAAATTCTGGTACTTCACATGATGGACTATCAATGTGAACCACCTGGATACTGGGAGCTCACATTATGGTAGTCCATGTAAATGGATCATCAGCATTTTGAATTTAAAATGTGAGTGGTGGAGGCAGAGGACTGATCATCATGAGCCTGGTTCTGATAGAGGCTTCTTCCTGTTAAAAATGAGTTTTTCCTTGTTGTGCCCTGAGAGAACATTTGTTGGGACTTGGCTAAACTGAATTGAATTGTTGTAGTTAAGTTAATTCCTTCTCTGCCAGGTCCTAATTATTATTATTATTATTATTATTATTATTATTATTATTATTTGCTTATTTTTTTCTGTTCTTTTATTATTATTGTTTTTTCTAATCAGTTTAAAAGTTCTATTACTGAAGGTGCAAAGACTGTACTACTGCACAGGTTATGAGAATCTTCATTTGACAATCTGTCTTGATAGTTTATTATGTGAAAAGCCATTTGTGCAGTAAAAGCATGCGAGTAACTCCCAGCTTATGATTACGTGATTGCATGTAGTTCAAAGTATTTCAATAAAATTTGACTTAAAATACAAACCCATCTGCATTTGGGCACTTCTTTCTTGAGATTTACTGATTGCAAAAGCTGGATAAATGTAAAATCAAAAAAACCAAAAGCATACGGGGTTAATTGTAGTATTATTCTTTTTTCATTCAGCAATTTTGAACTGTGCATATCATTTTGTGCTACTTATGTCATACAACAGCCATCCTTGTCATTCCATATAAACCAAGTGTGGTCCTTTTCAACAAATCAGCAAAAGATGTATTCAGATAAATATAGATTAACTCTTGTGTCTAGAAATGGGGTCCAACCGACCCAACACATGTACAACTTGTATCATTTGCCATAGTCCTCTGTTTGCCTCAGTCCTTGCACACACAAGGGTTAAGACAACAAGTATGTAAAATATACTACGCATGTTTAAAATGTAGACATCTGTTGATATGCGTCTCTCACAGGTAGTGTTGTAGCACTCGAGACCACTTTTTGATGGTCTCGGTCTAGTCTCGGACTCGACCTCCTTTGGTCTCCGTCTTGTCTCGGGCGCTGAGAACTCGTGAATTTATTACAAGACCGGTCAAGACCACAACTGTGGAAAAATCACTAGATTGAGAAATATACCGATTAAAATCCAAGCAATAACGTGACGTAATAATTACGTGTTTCTGTTTCCACTGTCCACTGTTTCACTCATATGCGGGACTTCAAACCCTGCACAGTGGTTTTCTCTGAGTGGCAGATGTCTGTCTAATCGTTAGTAATAGATTCCTGCTACATAAATAATCAGAAATTCGATGGCGACGACATGTTTAGCAGCGGTTCGCTTTGACAAACGGTGGACTACTTCTAAATTTTATCATCACTTAGAAAAGAAAAGTGAAGCTAGCTGTGCACGAACAAATTGTATGAAAAAAGCTGTCACTCACTGCGCTGAATGCGGAGGTGTTGACTGATGTGTCACATGTATGGGACAATGCTGTGACCAAAGTCTGACATTCACTAACGATCCGATTCTTCCGAATGGCTCTTTACTAAGAACGATAGGACTGGAGCCTCACTGAGAGCCGTTCTTTGTTCTTGTAATGCTCTGCGTACACTGCAGTAGGTATTATTATTTTATTTAATTATACTGATATTTATTTAGCTAGTGAGTAAGTAAAACACAAGAACGGAAGAGCACGCAGTGCATGCTCATTGCTCTTTGATTGTTTTGGTCACCTGTCTTGGTGGCAGATATTACAGCACTGTGCTGCCTGGCTTCATGTAGCGGGACAGAAAGTGAGAACAGTCATGGTGCTCACCTTGTACTTAGTTACTTCTTGCTTTTGCTCCTTGGTCAGAGTTCATAGTTGAGTGTTGTTTACCGTTAGGACATTACCTTAATTACTATGTTTAATGGCACAGACAGAGGTGGTTTCTGACATGGGCAGAATGGGCAACTGTCTAGGATGTTATCTTGTTAGGGATGGCACAAGACCTCCATGGATTGTGGTACAGACATGGAAGGAAAGAAGAATTAAGAGTTTGAATTGATGATGATATTGGTTAAATTTATTTAAGCTCTAAGCATTTA